ATTCATATATATTTATTATATGAATATCATGAATAATAATCAATATTATTATTATATTGAGGCAAGATTTAGGCCTATATATTAAATGTGCGTTTATAACGATATTAGCGCATATTTATATATGTACTATAGAATTTCAAAAATATTTATCGATAAATGTGCGTTCCGAAAATTTATCTTATAGTTCCATTAGATTTCAATTTTTTAAACAAAAGTTTCACTTTTTGAAGTATGCTCCGAACATTTACATTTTCGATATTCATTTATTTTAAACATAATCTGATGATGAATAAAATCCAAGACATTTGTTCCTGATCCAAAGATGAATCATTTAGCCAAGATTGGTCTAACATTTTACATATAATTAACAAATTATATTTTTATATAATAAAACTGCAAATAAATATCGTATGTAGATATATGTGTGATACAAAGGTGCAAGAAATATGCACAATCAAGAAATAAAATATCTAAATTAATACATATAAACGTCGAAGACATTCAGAGATAAAATGGAAATAATAGAACGGCTGAAGAAGTTACTTCCACTATCCAATTCGGGCAATGTCGATCTGATCTGGTCTATAGCGATCATTGTACTCGCGACCATAATATTTTTCACTTTGAGAAAAAATTGATAAGTCTGGAGAAGATTATTCTTCGATTTTGTATGCAGCGTTGTTCGGAAAAAATTATCAGATTCATCTTTTGTGCGGAAAATGAAGCTTTATTGTTTCTCCTCATGTACAGCGGACTGATTGGAGTACTAATTGCCCAAATAATCGCATATGTCATACGTCAAGCTTAATTCAAGTATTTAATTATTTCCTTTTGAATCTAATTTTTTTTTATATTTATTTGATATATTTTGATATATTTGATATATTTTTCTATATGTATATATATTTTCTTTACTACATTTATACATGTGTGTAATCTTAATAAGAGAATCATGGTATTTTAACATAATTTATTATTAATATTCAAATTGCATTTTAAATTTTACAATCACTCTATAAATTATTGAATTGCGCGATTTTAAGAACAGTTCATTGAACAAACGAATTGAAAATTCATTTTTTCAACCAATGAAATGTCTATAATAGTTGTGCCACGCTGGTTAAATCATGCTCCTTTTAAGAATAAGACATAGACATTTCTAATTGGAATTTTATTAAAAATACATTATAATGCTTTAATTACATGAAGATTCGCGAAAAAGAAAAAGATTATATCTTTTTAATAATGTATATTTAAAAAATTAGGTTTATATGTATATATATTATTAATGGCAATTTGATGTTTGGTATCGTATTCTTTAATTTAAAGGCATAAATTTATGTCACATTTATGAAAAAGCTTTCCCTATCATATCTACCGAAATCAAAATCGTATCCTTTGTATGTCACGTGTGCGTTACAAGTGAAACACAATGAGAATGCATCAAGTCTTATTATTCCCCGCGATTTTCCATAGGGCGAAGATTCAAATGATGATGCTCACCAGATGACACGATGACGCAGCTGCACGAGGAAGAGGACGATCAGCGGCAGCCCGCGCGGCAGCATCCTGCCAATCGTCTTCGTTATCCGGTTGGGATTGTGTCAGTGAACGACGAGCGCGATGGAGAACGTCATCTCGCGATATTCTCGCATTTCCTCGGCATCCCCGTAACCGGCTTGCTGCCGCCACCACCACCGTTCTGCAATCATAGTTGAAAGGAAGAACACCTGTCAATCTTTTCTGCACGCTTCCTGTCTGCTCGTCACTATCCTTATAACCCTGCATACAGTTTTCATGCGTATCCCTACACGCAGTGTGTTCTACACAAACGAGACACAACGCGGAAATCCTGTGGTAATAATCTCCGCGTCTATAATAAGTTCTTTATCTTCTTGGGAGGGAAAGATAATCCAGCAAATAATAAAGAGGAAAACCAGAAAGGCTTATCCTACAGGAAGGCTTATCCTAATAGTACAGATCTCCAAGGAACGTTCCAAAGAACATTCAGAGGATATCCCTATGTCCTAAAAACGTTCGTTAGAACATCTCTCGAATAAAATGTTCTATTAAGAATGCGTATACTCAGAGGAAACTTAATTAAATTCTATTTCAATTTAAAATATATATATATATATATATATATATGTATATATGGATTGAATTTGAGAGAAATCCCTATTTTTTTTTATCAAGACAAAAATGGATAATTGGTTCTAAACATTACACTGCACTGATTTGCATTTTGTCATCATAACGAGCACATGATGTATTATCGTTCTCTGCAGAAAAAAATAATAAAAATTATTGCTCTTTTAACTTTAGTATTTTATTACCAATTATTTACGTTAATGTTGTAATGCTAATTTTATCATGTAATATCGTTAATCGAAAAAGTTATGAAGTTATCGCTTCTATTTGTGTCCTCAGGCTACTTCAAGCAATTAAAATCACAATTTTTTTTCTGAAATTTTCGACTACTAATAAATCAAGTGATTAAAAACTAATGTAATTCCATTATTATGCTCGATTAAAGAGTAAAGCATAACGAAATATGGACTAATACGATAAAGCATTAGATACAATACATTAAAATAAAAATGAAATAAAATTGCGTATAACACGCTCTACATATCGCCGTGTACTTCAATCTCGTGCTTTATTCATTTCAAAGATTGCGCACGTACGAAGCTACACTTTCGCCTCTATGACATGACATTCGCGTTAAACAATAAAAAGAGCGCGTAAAATATATCCGACAATATTACGTACTTTTGATAAAGCTATTTTTCCGGAATATACAATAAAAATGAAGAATAACTTGTTAGTGATGAAATCTTATACTCCGTAAATAATGAAGGAACAACTTTTTTCCATACTGAGAATGGAAATTGACTTTATTAAGTCTCGAGTTTTAAATTGACGACAGGAAATATTTCATAATGTGATACTTTTAAATGTGATACTTCTAATAATATAGATATCCAAGTATTTAAAAATATCATGTAAAATATTATTTTCTTCGTAGTTACTTTATTAGTTAATAGTTCAGTTTTTAAATTTATTTTATTAGAATTATACTATATATAAAAATTAAACAAACTTTAGAATTATACAAATAGTATTGAATCGTGAATCGATACGAATGAAGTACATAATACATGGTGGGGTTTAATTGTCCGTAAATGTCGACAGATTGGCAGGAAATTCAATTAAAAATTGTTGAACAAAAAGCAAATTGGTATGAACTACGTTCGTATTAAAATCGTATTTTGCCAAGAAAGCTTGATAACATGACAGCAAATTGGCGGTAGAAACCGAGCAAAATCTGTCGAATGCAGACTCTATTCTGCTCTATTTCTGCTGCCGATCTATCAAACTTTGTAACAAATATATCGAAATTTATCTTGATTTTAGTCCTCATGTCTTGTTGACAAACTTTGCTATATTTTTGTCAGCATTCTAGCAAGAGTAAATATTGAATATCCTGTGTCGGATACTGTATCAAATCCGTAGACTTTCTGTCAACAAAATTTGTAGTAAACACTTAACAAAATCTATTCTCAATAGACTGTCTAGGTTTTCACTTAATCG